GTATTTATTTTTACATAGACACGTTCAGGGAAGGGAATTTATCCTTATACGAAGAAAAAAGAATTTTTTGGGAACACTTGATTTCATGCACACGGGGGGAATTTCAAAATAAACTCGGCGCATCACAGTCGTTAACGAGATTACACAATAAATGTAACAAGCCACCAGCTCGTTTAGGGAGCTGGTGGCTGAGTGGACAGCATGCTGTACATGCAATCCTGTGTACCAGGGTTCAATTCCCGGCACCGGTGAGAAACATGGTCAGTTTCTTTCACCCTGATGCTCCTGTTACCTAGCAGTAAATAGGTACCTGGGTATTAGACAGCTGTTATGGGCTGCTTCCTGTGTGTGTGTGTGTGTGTGTGTGTGTGTATGGGGGGGGGGGAATTAGTTAGTAGGTAGTCAGTTGATTGATTGACAGTTGAGAGGTGGGCCAAATGAGCAGAGCTTAACCCCCTGCAAGCACAACTAGGTGAATACAACTAGGTAAATACAACTAAGGGCCATGGGAAACCATGCAGGCACTCTTTAGCCTGATGGTTGCAACCCCTGGGTCCCTTCTGACTTTGTGCGAGTTTGAAAGTTGCTCTGTCCCCTTGTTTCAGGGTGACACTCATCGGTTCTGCCTCCATTATGTTGCCTGTTGGGTCAGTGACGCCTTCGACTCGGAGTTCTGCGAGTTTTGTTCCTTGGTTGTACTCCAGTACACCCAGTCCACTGATCATGATATTCAGTGCAGAGAACTTCAGCATTGCATGCTCGGTTTAGGTTTCTGCAGCATGCTAGGTTGGTTGCTACCCTACCCCAGATATCCCAAGACTGCCCATTGGTTCAGTCCGCGCCCCCTTGTCCTTGTCCTTCTGTTGTTCGTCCTGGTCTTCTCCCCCCGCTTCCGGTTCTGAAGCATCTGAGGGTTTTGGAATCGGGGCAGGGTTTAGTTGATGTTGAGACTCGGGCAGTTTCGGGGTATGCCCCTTCCGTGTGGCGACAGAGGCATTTGAGCATGTTCCTCCACCCGGAGCTTTTGGGTATGACCAGTGGGGCCCCCTTCATTTCTACTTTTTTGGCTGCTTCTGCCTTTTGTTTTGAGACGGGACTTGGAGGATGGCTCAACCCTGGGTCCTCAAGGGGAGGTTCCCAGGGAGAGGGAGAGGTTGACTTGGGGGCCTTAGGCCCTGTTGGACCCTGCTTGGGTTTTTGTACCTTCCGAGTGGGGCTTGATGTTACAAGGGATTGGGATTTTCATCTCCTCCCTCCTCGTATGAATTGGATTTGGGATAAGTCCCTTCCCGAGTTCGGTTCCGTGCTCCCTTGTGTTCTTTGGTCCCATCCTTCTGGAGGTTTTTGGCCTCCCGCATCCCACCTCATGTGGTGCGGGAGGCCATTGCAGCTTACCTCCTGCGCAAGGGAGGTAAGGATTGGATTACACTTCCATAATGGATTCTTCTTCCTTCATGTTTGGATCTTTTCCTTACTGGGCTCGTTATAAGGTTCCGGAGTCTTCCTGGTTTGTGGACTGCTCCTTTTTCTCATTGAAGGCATAGTATATGTTTTGTCGGTCCTGCGTGCTTGAGTGGCGCGAGGCTCATACAGTGGTCCAGGTTTTCCTGAGGAGCGAATTTGAGCTCCTCAATGCGTGCTTGTTGGCCCCTACCATTCCTCAGAATGTTGGCATTGTACAGCTTCACGTGCAGGTTTCCACTCTCTTGGCTGCCCTGGTTACTGAGGACTTGCCCGCCCGTGCCTGTTGGCGTTAGTCTTGCGATTCTTTTCCCTTCTCAAGCTGTTCTCGGACTGGCTTGAGGAGGACATGGAGGTGCTTGGGGCCAATCCTGGGTCTGGTGCATTGGTCTTGGCGGTGAATGAGTCATCTGCTCTTTTGAAGCTGTTCACGCCGATCCTGCAGGATGCGGTTTCACTGTTCTTTGCTTTCCGTCTCGCATGTTGGCAGGCAGGGCTTGCTACCTCCATGGAATCCGCTTAAGCCCTGGCTCTCAGGTTTTCTTTGCTTTTTTGTCCTTTGCTGTTTGCAGAGTCTGCGGTGGTGCAGTATCTACAGGCAGCTTCTTCCAGTTGTCGTCTCATGTCAGACTTGTTGGTTCTCTGAGGGGGCCCATGGGGGATCTTCCCGGAAGGATCGTGCCAGGGCTTGGGGTTTCTTCAGTTATGATAGGCCAGTGGTGCCAGTTTCGGAGCCGGAGGAGCCTTCGGAACCGTTTTCGTCTGGACGGCACAGTGATCGCTCTGTGTGGAGGTCGGGTTCACGTGAGGGGGCATTGGCCCTTTCGCAATTCGTTCCATTGACAAAGCAATGGGGGGGGGGGGAGGGAGACTTGTGCTGTTTGCTCGCGCCTGACCCCACGATTTGTGGGCCTTTCGGGTCATTTCGTGCGGTTGATGCATCGCCGGCTTCTTCTTCGGGGTTTTTGGGGTTCAGTGCCTTGGCACCTACCCAAGCCCTCACTCGTGTGTTCACAGATGCATTGTCTCTTTCTCTGGGGCTTTGTGACCAGTGCTCACTAGGCAGGCCAGGGGCGGTGGGGTCCATCTTTCCTTCATGACCATTGCATGGTACGGGAGTTCGGGGCAGTATTGCTGTCGCTTTGGAGGAGTCGGGGTCGCTCACAGATTGACGATCAGGCTGCATTTAGACTGCTCCCCAGTGATTCATTGCCTGAACCATGGTGGTTTGATGCGGTCCTTGGCTCTTTGGGGCTGGTTGCTTCGAGTGACTCGTCTGCTGAGTTCTCGGGGTTTGGCTCTCTGGGGTGCTCACATTCGGGGGGTGTCCAATGTCCTGACAGACGGCCTGTCTCAGTTCATTCCCCTGTCCACGGAATGGACGGTCGATGCCAAGATGTTCAGTTGGCTCTGCCGGATGTACTGGCCTCCGGAGGTGGACCACCTCACGTCGGCATGGTCGAGGTGTCTCCTGTTGTATGTGGCGCCCTTCCCTGACTGCAAGGCCATCGAGGTCGATGCCTTCAGGCAGGAAAGGTCGAGGTGGGGTTACCTGTACCTCTATCCTCTGGTTCCTCTGTTGCTCCAGATCCTAGCTCATTTGAAGACTTGCCAAAGGAGAGTTGTCCTTCCGGCCCATTGGTGGCCGGCCCATCCTTGGTCTCAGGCGCTACTTGCTCGGTGTCCGAACCCGAGGGTCTTCCAGAGGCTCCGCTTCTTTCAGAAGATCGGTCTGGTCCATTATGGGGCTGGTTTGATCTTCTCCTTGAGTCTTCACGTTTGGTCTTTCTGACTCGAGTCTATCATCACTTGTATAGTGAGCAGGTGGCTTCGTTAATAGTCTCCCACCTGCGTGCTTCGTCTTGTGGCAGTATGAAGTTTCCTGGTGGTCCTTCCATTATTTCTTAACCCTTCCATTATTTCTTATCCCTTCATAGGTTTACTTCTGTCTCTGATAGGGTTGTCTTGTCCTTCGTTTCGTGATTGTTCCAGGACCGTCATCTTATGCTGAATACCGTCACATTGTATAGTGCGGCGTTGGCGGAGCTGCTGCAGCTTGCGTTCAGCATTTATGTTACTTCTGCACCATTCCTCAAGCTGTCTCGGGCTTTGTTTTACCTCTGGCCTGCTCATGTGCTGCCTGAGCCGTCCTGGTAGTTAGATTGGGTGCTCTCGTTTCTCTCTTCTCCTTGGTTAGTGGTGGCCCCTTCGATTTAGGATTGTTTTTTCAAGGCTCTTTTCCCTTTTGGCATTGGCCTCTGGGGGTCGAGTCGGGTAGCTTCATGCTCTCCTCTGGCGCAGGGGAGTTTCTGCTCTTTTTGTTCCTGGCAGTATGTTTTTTTGCAGCCATCTCCTTCTTTTCTGATGAAGAATGAGACTGCTGCTTTCCAGAGGGGTCCTTGGGTTGTTGATGCTTGGTTGGTTAGGCCAGGGGTGCATCATGTGTTGTGTACAGTTGCGGCTCTCTGCCATTACCTGCACGCCACAGCCTCAGTGGACGGGGAACACGCTTTGGGTTGACTGGGTTTCCCTTCTCTGTTCCAGGGTTCGGGTCTCCCAGGTCGTCCGCAGGGTTATTCGATCCAGCCAGCCTGATGTCTATCACCGTGCCCATGACGTTCGTAAGTTTGCTGTTCTGGCCGCCGTCTTCGGTAACATGTCTTGGGCTGACATTCTGGCACAAGTTTTTGGAGGTCGAACAGGATCCTGGCTGCTCTCCACCTTGTCATTGTTCTTGGGCCTAGTTGGGCCTGTGTCGCATTGAGTCGGCAGTTGCAGCCAGTTATCTCGACTTCGCATTGAGGAGCGAGGGCCGACCAACTCCCGGGTAAGTCTCTCTTGTTTTGTCTTTGGGTAAGTAGCTCCAGGGAGTCGATGGGACCCCCTCGAGAAAACCAGCATGGAATGCAATGAAACTCCAGTTTCTGGGTGAGACACTGAGGCTTCCTGGCATCCCTCCCTCCGGTCGGCATTTTTTCGCGATTTTTGACATCCAGCCTCGGAACTGCAGTGTGGATAGGCAGCGTGGGGGTTTGGGGCTTCCTCTACCCTTTTCCCAGAGAGGGAGGGAAAGTTGTTCAGACAGCGTTGTGATGATGTCATGTTTGTTTGCTTATTTTCATTTGGGGAGTTATGTCCACTAGTTCAGCTTTCAGTAGCAATATTTTAATCATAATAGGGGTTTGTTTTGGGGAGCTTATCTTTCTGGGTGCCTGACCCTGTTGATGGCAGATATAAAATGCTTCCAACCACACAGGGGTTTATATAAGCCATTGCTCCTCGTGCCTCTCTGAGGGGGGCCAGGTTTTGGCTCGTGGTCCCCGGTAAGCCTAGAACTTCATGTGCATTGACTGATGCCAGGGTCTAATACATTCATATCAGCCCAGTTAGCTCCTGGGAGCCTCTGGGTCTCACCCAGAAATTGGCATTTCATTACATTCAATGCTGGGTCTTTTCAAGAATTATATGAATAATAAGATGTTACTTCTTGAAAAAAATGCACAATGATGTATTTTATATATACTGTATTTTGTTGACAGTTATGTTTCGGCTATACGATACTGATGGCAACGGTGTCCTTGATACTAATGTAAGTACCTACTGCTTCTCTTGTTACCTTTTTTTCTTAGTAAATAACATGTGTATAAGAGGACAGTGTCAGACAGTGACAGTGTACTATGTGAACCATCGAACACACACAGACATAATGAACATTTTGATAGTAGAATTTAGTGCTATTTACTTTATAGTTCATAAGAAAAAATCAAACCAAACCTTAATATTCTTCGGCCTAGTGGTATATATATAGTGCATATAGCACATATATGTACTATATTAGGCATCAGATAGCATGTATTAAGCTTAGGAAAATTAGATTAGGTTAGGTTAGGTTTTCTTTGCAACATCAATACAAAAACCTTTCCAGTTTGTCCAAATTCAATAACACTCATTTGTACTTGTAGAGTAATTGCTATTTACACCAATATATGTATGATGGTCTTCATTGTTACTATAAGTACTGCCTAAGCAGGAGGATGGGCTGAATTACCCATATACAAGATAGTCCTTATATTTATAGTGTAGTTCACCATATTTATTCTATCAAGTAACAACTATTTCCATACACTAACCTTGAGGAATTTGGTCAATAGTACAGTATCTAAACAAGATCCCTGCAGTAAACCAGGATGTGATGGTGACAACACATACCACACAAAATATATATAAAAATCACAAATTTCTGTGTTATTGTTGTTAGTTTAAAATAGGTCACGTTGCAGGGGGTTTCAGTGGTTTGATCGCCTCTCCCTTATTAGCTTTGGGTTTTAACCAGTTAGCCACACCTTGCTTCTGCTTCCCGTAGCAGTCAGCCTACAGGCCTTGGAAAACTCTGTCGGGGCTCGTTGGGACCTATGGATGCGTCTTCAGAGTTTCAGCCCTCCTCGTGCGGGTTGGAAGGTTGCTGTTTTCCCCTTGTCTCAGGGTGACAGTCACCACTTTTTCCTCACTTATGCTGCATGTTGAGTCAACGACACCTTTGACCCGGAGTCTTGCGAGTCATGTTCTCTGCTTGTTCTCCAGTACCATTCTAATGACATTTACTGTTAGGGTACATGCAGCATCCGCGTTGCAAACTAGGTTTAGGATGCTGCAACATGCTAGGTTGGTTTCCCATCCGGATGCCCCGTGGCTGCCCTGCTTCGGTTATAGTGACCTGGACCTGGGGACGATAGTCACTTCGACTTTGGTTCTGTCTGCACTCCCTGGTCCTTCTCCTGTTGTTCATCCTGCACCTCCATCCCCTTTCCCCCTGCTTCCAGCTCCCAAACGTCTGAGAGTTTCAGGATCGGGGCAGGGTTTAGTTAGTAATGAGACTCGGGCAGCTTCAAGGGCTACCCCATTCGGGTTGGGGACAGAGGCATTTGAGCCGGTTCCTCTTTTGGAGGCTTCTGGGTCCCACCAGCAGGCCCCCTTCTTTGCTGTCTTGTTCCTGGACTCTGCCTTTTCTTCAGAATAGAGGGTGTGGAGGACGGCTTTGCCCCGAGTCCAACTTGGGGGATCCCATGGCTGCATAGGAGTTGACCTGGGGGCCTTGGGGCCCCCTTTGAACTCATTTGGGTGTTGGTGTCTTCTTCACAGAGCTTCTTGTTGCGGGGGTGGGGGGGGGGTGGGTTCTTACCCTCTTCCTGGTACCTGGTATGAGTATGATTTGGGGTCGGCTCCTCCCCGGGTTCAGTGCTGGGCTCTTTTCGTTTCCTTGGCTTTGTCCTTTTGGAAGTTTTCTGCCTCTCAAGTCTCACCTAAGGAGGTTTGGGAGGCTCTTGCTGTGTACCTTCTGCAAGACCCGGATTCTGCCTCCACAATGGATCCATCCTTATTTGAGTTCGGTTCTTCTTCCCCATATTTGGTGTGTTTGGAGGTTCCAGAGTCTTCCTGGCTGGCAGACTGCCCATTATTTTCGTTAAGGACGTGGCATGGGTTCTGTCGGCCCCACATGCTTGAATGGCGAGAAACCTCTGCAGGCTTACCTGGGGGGGCGAGTTTGAGTGTGCTGCTTGCTTGATGTCCGAACCCAGGACGTTTTCCATGGCTCCGCCTCATCCAGCGGGTCAGACCAGTCCAGTACAAGGCTGGTTTGGCCTTCTACGCTCTTTGTGTCTGGTCTTTTTGATGTGGGTTTATCACCAATTGCATGGTGAACAGGTGACTTTGTTGATGATGTCCCACCCGAAAGCTTCGTCTCAATGGCAGTATGAAGTTTCCTGGCGTTCTTTCCGCCATTTTCTCTCTTTGTAGGTTGTCTTCTATTTCTGTTCGGGTTGTCTTGTCCTTTGTCTTGGCTTTTTCAGGACCATCATTTAATGCCTTATACTGTCAACTCTTATCGTGTGGCATTGGCGAAGCCGCTCCAACTTGCTTTCGGGATGGATGTTACTTCTGCCCTATTCTGTAAGCTTTCTCATGCATTGTTTCACCTCCAGGCTGCTCATGCACCACCTAAGCCGTCCTAGTCCTTGGACCAGGTGCTCTCCTATCTTTCTTCTCCTCGGTTTATGGTGGCTCCTTCGGTTCCTGATTGTTTTTCCAAGGCTCATTTTCTGTTGGCATTGGCCTCTGGGAGTCAGGTCGGTAAGCTTCATTCTCTATGACGCAGGAGTTTCTACTCTTTCGGTCCTGGTGGTCGGTTTGTTCGGTTGCAGCCGTCTCCTTCTTTTCTGGCAGAGAATGAGGCGGCGGCTTTCCAGAGGAGCCCCTTAGGTCATAGGTGCTTGGTTGGTCACGCTGGGGTTACATCATGTGTTGCGTCCGGTTGTGGCTCTTCGCTGTTACCTGTGCGCCTCGGCTTCTGTGCCCGGGGATGCACTTTGGGTTGATCCAATTTCCCTCATTCACTGTTCTAGGGCTTGAGTCTCCCAAGTCGTCCTCAGGGTTATTAAGTCTAGCCAGCCTGTGGTCTATCTTCGTGACTATGATGTTAGGAACTTTGCTGCATTGGCTGTCGTGTTTGGCAACATGTCTTGGCCTGATATTCGGGCGCGGGGATTTTGGAGGTTGAATGGGGTCCTGACTGCGTTGAATGTAATGAAACGCCATTTTCTGGGTGAGCCCTGGAGGCGCCCTAGCAACCCTTCCTCCCTCCCTCCAGTTGGAGGTTTTCGCGTGTTTGATACCTATCTTCCGAATCGTGGCTGGGTTACATTCAACGCTGGTTTTTTTTATGCCACAATCTGGTTACTCACACTGTTTAACTGCACACTTTCATCATTTACCTGTTTACTTCTGCCATATACCCGGTTATTCCTGCTGTTTACTGGGTTATTCCTACCATCTATGTAGTTACTCTCACCACTTACCCAGTTATTCCTGCAGTTTACTTGGTTACTCTTAGAGTTTATGCACTTATTCTTGCTGATTATGTGATTACTTCCACTGTTTACTACAGCTGTTTACAGTTACTACCACCGTTTATCCACTTACTCTCACTGTTTACACAGTTTTACTTCTGTTTACCCATTACTGGTTACTACTACCCATTTACTTGGTTACTCTTGCCATTTTCACAGTTACTCCCATAGTTTATGAAGTTACTCCCGCCGAGGGACCAATAGGAACGCGTCTCTGTCCTTCACATACGCAGGAGGGCAAACGGGTGCCAGAGGTGCCCGTCTAATTATTAACAGTGCCTGCACTGTTCTTGGTTACTCTGTTCTTAAGAGTATAGCAAAACTTGGAAGGAATTACCAAGTTATTCCTTCCATTTGCCTGTTTACTCCTGTTCTTAATCCCATTATTTCTCCCATTTACCTGGTTACTACTGCTATTTACCTGGTTATTCCCAACGTTTACCTGGTTACTCCCTCCATTTATGTTGTAACGCCAAACGTTTACCCTGTTACTTTGGCCATTTTATAGTCTTCATGGTGTAGTGGTAAGACGTTCACCTGGCATTTTGCAAAGGCTTTGTCCTGGGTTCGTATCCCAGGGAGGATTTACAAATCCTTAATCCTTAACTGTAGCCTCTGTTTAACTCAACAGTAAAATGGGTACTTGGTTGTAAAAATGATTCTTCGTGGAAGTCATATTCCAGGGGAACAATAGGATTAAGGTCTTGCCCGAAATGCTACGCATACTAGTGGCTGTACAAGAATGTAAGAACTCTTGTATATATAAATAAATGAAATTTACCCAGTTTTTCCTTCCATTTACCTGGTTACTCCCACCATTTAAGCAGTTACTTCTGCTATTTAGTTGGTTATTCCTGCCATTTTCCTGGTTATTTCTGCAATTTATGCAGTTATTCTTTCCAATTTACCTGGTTACTCCTGGCATTTACCTGATTGTTTTTCTTGATTAGTCCTGCCATTACCCATTTACTCCTGCCTTTTACATGGTTGCTCCCTCCGTTTACTCGAAAACAAAAAATGAGAATTCATTCAGTTCAGAATTTGGATTAGTGGGCTCTTTGCATAACTTCAAACTCCAAATCCATTTAACAAAAAAAAAAATTTACAACTGGATTGTCCATCATAAATTAATTTTTTCCGAGTTTAAATCCATATCTTTTACCCCACTGTAAAACTTGGAGAGTGCTACATTAGGCTTGTTTTCAAGCCTGTTCTAGGTTTATGAAGGTCCTCACTAGGTCATCTTCTGACCCTTCTTAAGATTCATCCTATAGTGGTAGACTTATTCCTTGGTACCAATTTACTATTAGGGAAACCAAGATATTGCATATAAGTAAACATACCCAAACTGTCTTGCCTTGTACAGGAATTGAACCTAAGACCAACTGATTGAGAGCTGACTGAACTAACTATTTTATAATGTAGACTTCTGTTTAAGGATTACTGCATTTTTACATGCTCTTATTGACAACATATATTTAAATCACTTCTACTTTATATTGTACTGTATTTTTTCCCCAGGAAATGGACTGTATAGTGAACCAAATGATCCAAGTAGCCGACTACCTTGACTGGGATGTTACCGAGCTCAAACCAGTGAGATAATTATGTGTTTATTATACCCATACAGTACTTATTATACCCATACAGTACTTATTATACCCATACAGAACTTATTATACCATACAGTACTTATTATACCCATACAGTACTTATTATACCCATCCTTTTGTGCTAAGAAGCTGCTATTTAATGAGTAGAATTTGCAAAAAATTAATTCTCTTCTGCAAAATTTAATTTGAACTCTGCATCTTAATCATTGTGAATTTAACCATTCTTAATACTAAATTTTAATAAAAAAGAGGAGGTTAATTCAGTAGTGAATAGAGCTCCTTAAGAGAAATGTACAGTAAAGTATATCAATATTAATGATTGTGTCCACATTCATTTCTAGCTGTCTTTTCTTACATTAATAAAACATTGAACTAATATAGATCCATCTCTTTCATTGTATACAGGAAGAATTGCATCAACATATTCCATATTAAATATACAGTACAATACTTCATTTATTTCAAACCAAGTTCATACCCTTCTCCAATATTGTCAACTTCTACCACACACCAGGTTCGTACCCTTCTCCAATATTGTCACCTTCTACCACACACCAGGTTCATACCCTTCTCCAATATTCTTACCTTCTACCACACACCAGGTTCGTACCCTTCTCCAATATTCTTACCTTCTACCACACACCAGGTTCATACCCTTCTCCAATATTCTTACCTTCTACCACACACCAGGTTCATACCCTTCTCCAATATTGTCACCTACCACACACCAGGTTCATACCCTTCTCCAATATTCTTACCTTCTACCACACACCAGGTTCATACCCTTCTCCAATATTGTCACCTACCACACACCAGGTTCATACCCTTCTCCAATATTCTTACCTTCTACCACACACCAGGTTCGTACCCTTCTCCAATATTGTCACCGTGTCACCCATCACATTTATAGTGTAACTCATATTCTCATGCACTTAGTGTTTTCTCTGTGGCTTTACAGATTCTGAAAGACATGATGATCGAGATAGACTATGATAATGATGGCACAGTGTCCCTTGAAGAATGGAAGAGAGGAGGGATGACCACAATTCCTCTACTCGTGCTCCTCGGGCTCGACACGGTAAGGATAGAAAGTGTAGTAATGCTCAGATATTGGAGAAAGGGGAAATGTGGTGCTGGTGAATAGGATAGAGAGGGGGAAGGTGGTGTTGGCAAGCGGGAGGGAGGGAGGGAGGTGAAAGGTGGTGTTGGTGAGTGGGATGGAAGGGGAAAGGTGGTGGAGAGAGGGAAGGAGGGAGGGGGGAGGAGGAGGAGATTAATTTTTCATCATAGCAAAATTAGTTGCAAATTTAATTGATTAGTACTGCTTTAAAAAAAAATTAAATGTAAATACAGGTATATTTTAATAGATGCCTCTTTGTCCATTTTCTGTTTTGTCAACAAATATGAAACAAATATGTTGAAGTTCATCATAATTAGATTATATGTTATACTGCATCCTAATAAGTATAGGCTCATCCAACCTTAACCCTTGCACTGCTCACCTATTTTCGGCAAAAACGTCTTGGTGCAATTGTCAAGGACATATTTTTGTTATTTTTACAAATGTTCAGGTAAATTTAATGTCAAAATGTTTCCAAAGTCAACTATTTACATTTCAAAACACAAATAGTGATGAAAACATTAAAAAACATTAATATATAGCCAAATTAAAAAACAAAATGCACAACTCTCTGAGCGCCTAAAGGCGCTTTGCGCAGTGCAGTGGTTAATAAATCTTTGAAAGGGAACATACTTCCAAAGAAGTTATTAAAATATAGCAGATCCAAAACTTTTGGTGTGAAATTTTAACCCAAGAAAAGATTTTTTAATATAAATTTCACCTTAGAATTATTAGACTTGAAATCCCACACCGTGCTCACTTATTGTTGACCAGACCACACAATAGAAGGTGAAGGGACGACAACGTTTCGGTCTGTCCTGGACCATTCTCAAGTCGATTGTCGACACAATCGACTTGAGAATGGTCAAAGACGGACCGAAACGTCGTCGTCCCTTCAACTTCTAGTGTGTGGTCTGATCAACATACTTTAGCCACGTTATTGTGACTCATCGCCTGCACCGTGCTCACTTGTCATTGAGTAATTTTATTCTAATAGTAATAAGCTGTCTTTTCATGGCAGTTATCTTTTTATTTGTGATAGTTTCTGTTAACTGGTGGTAGTTAGAAACAACATCTCAAAATTGTACAGAACTTGAAGGAAGATGGGAACCATGTGTGGCGCCTCAAACACTTCAGCAAGCCGGCCTACTGCAACTTGTGTCTAAACATGTTAATGGGTCTTGGCAAGAAGGGGCTGTCTTGTGTCTGTGAGTATCATATCTTAGCATATAATTATCTTCTTAAATGTTGTTTATACAATACAGCAAAACCTAACAAATCTGGTCTCTAGTGTGTCAGTCAAGGTCTGATTTGGTAATCTGAGGAATTTTGAGTTTGGAATAATATTCCTTTTTTGGTAATTTATCACTTAATTTTCTAATAGAAAATGATAGAGCACATCTTTGAATACATTTATATACAAATAATATACAATACTGTATAAACAATGATTTGATTTACATATAAATATATATAATATATATACTGTACTGTAGTACAGTGGTACCTTCGTTTACGATCGTAATCTGTTCCCAGAGACACGTCGTCATCCAAAAATTTCTCAACCAAAATGAAGTTTCCCATAAGAAATAATGTAAATTGAATTACTCCAGTTCCATCCCCAAAAATATTAACTTAAAAAACAGTGTTGAATGAAATGAAACGCTATTTTCTGGATGAGACCAGGAGACTCCCCAGAGCTATCTAGGCTGATATGCTAATGCCAGACTTTGGCATCAGTTATGTGTATGGAGTTCTGTGTTCCAACCGGGAACCATGAGCCAGAACCCGGGCCCCTCAGAAAAGCATGGGAAGTAATGGCTTATAGAAACCTCTTTGTGGTTGGAAGCATTCTATGTCTGCCATCGACCAAGTCAGGCGCCCAGAAAGATAAGCGTACCAAAACAAACCCCCTATGTTGGTGAAAATTGCTACAAAAAACCGAACATGTGGATAAAACTTCCCAAACGAGCAAACGAGCATGATGTCACACGTCTCTGCGCAGCTGTCTGAGCAGCTCCCCTCTCCCGGGAGTGGGAAGGGGGAGCCCCAGACCCCCATGCCGGCTATCCACCCTTCAGTTCTGAAGCTGGACATCAAAACACATGAAAAACTGCCGATCGGGAAGAGGGAGGGATGCTGGGGAGCCTTTAGTTTCATTACATTCAACGCTGGTTTTCTGGGGGGGAGCCCCTTCGGCTCCCTGGAGCTAATTGCCCACAGGAAAATTTGAGGGACTTACCCGAGAAGCGGTCGCTGCTCACTCTTCAACCCGAGATTGAGACAACTGGCTGCATCCGCCGACCCAAAGCGACACAGGCTCGACTAGGTCCAGGAACGTTCACGAGGTAGCGCGGAGCCAAGACCCTCTTCAACTGCCAAAAACCCCGCGCCCGAATGTCAGCCCAGGACATGTTGCCAAAGACGGCAGCAAGAGCAGCGAACTTATGAACGTCATGGGCACAGGGACAGACCCAGACTGGCTAGCCTTATTAACCTTGCGGATGACCTGGGAGGTCTCCAAGTGAGTCAGGACTTGGACAGCAGCTGAACCGGGGGAAAGAGGTACAGAAACCCCCACCTCGCCCAGTCCTGCCGAAAGGCATCTACCCCGACTGCCTCGCAATCGGGGAAGGGCGCCACGTACTGGGGAAGGCGCTGCGACCACGCCGACGTGAAGAGGTCCACTTCGGGGCGCCCGAACATCCGGCAGAGTCAACGGAAGGAGTCGGCGTCGACCATCCATTCCGTGGAGAGGGGAACGAAACGGGACAGGCCGTCGGCCAAGACGTTGGACACACCGCACGTGAACTGCCAGGAGAGCCAAACCCCGAGAACTCGGCAGACAAGTCACTTGAAGCGACCAGCGCCAAAGAGCCAGGGACCACATCGAACCCCCTCGGTTCAGACAATGAACCACTGAGGAGCAGTCCGAATGGAGCTGGATCGTCAATCTGCGGGCAACACAAATCCTCCGAAGGGCAAACCACACCGCCACGAACTCCCGCACCGTGCTGTGAGCTCAACGGAAGGATGGACCCCACCGCCCCTGGCCGGCCTGGTGAGCACTGGTCACAAAGCCTCAGCCAAGAGACGACGCATCTGTGAACACATCGAGCGAGAGCTTGGGCAGGCGCCAAGGCACTGAACCCGGAAAAACCCGAAGAGGAAGCCGACGTTTCGGTCCGTCCTGGACCATTCTCAATCAACTTGAGAATGGTCCAGGACGGACCGAAACATCGTCGTCCCTTCACCCTGGGAGGTCTCCAAGTGAGTCAGGACTTGGACAGCAGCTGAACGGGGGAAAGAGGTACAGAAACCCCCACCTCGCCCAGTCCTGCCGAAAGGCATCTACCCCGACTGCCTCGCAATCGGGGAAGGGCGCCACGTACTGGGGAAGGCGCTGCGACCACGCCGACGTGAAGAGGTCCACTTCGGGGCGCCCGAACATCCGGCAGAGTCAACGGAAGGAGTCGGCGTCGACCATCCATTCCGTGGAGAGGGGAACGAAACGGGACAGGCCGTCGGCCAAGACGTTGGACACACCGCACGTGAACTGCCAGGAGAGCCAAACCCCGAGAACTCGGCAGACAAGTCACTTGAAGCGACCAGCGCCAAAGAGCCAGGGACCACATCGAACCCCCTCGGTTCAGACAATGAACCACTGAGGAGCAGTCCGAATGGAGCTGGATCGTCAATCTGCGGGCAACACAAATCCTCCGAAGGGCAAACCACACCGCCACGAACTCCCGCACCGTGCTGTGAGCTCAACGGAAGGATGGACCCCACCGCCCCTGGCCGGCCTGGTGAGCACTGGTCACAAAGCCTCAGCCAAGAGACGACGCATCTGTGAACACATCGAGCGAGAGCTTGGGCAGGCGCCAAGGCACTGAACCCGGAAAAACCCGAAGAGGAAGCCGACGTTTCGGTCCGTCCTGGACCATTCTCAATCAACTTGAGAATGGTCCAGGACGGACCGAAACATCGTCGTCCCTTCACCTTCTAGTGTGTGTGTGGTCTGGTCAACATACTTTATCCACGTTATTGTGACTCATCGCCTGCACTCCAGGATGACTCAACGGAGCACAGGAGAGGAAGCCTGTCCCGTCAGCCCCGAACCTCCCAACCCCCCGAAGGGGGAGGGGCCACTCAAAGCCACCGCAGGCCGAAGGAAATGACCTGAAACGCCCATAAATCGTGGGACCAGGCATGAGCGAACAACGCAACCCTCCCCCCCCCCCATCACCCCGACAATGGGACGAACTGGGAAAGGGAAGGCGCCCCTTACAAGACCCAGAACACCGAACAGGGCGAACATGGCGCCGACCAGCCGAAGGTGGGTGCGAAGGCAGAGCCAAACCCGAACCTGGCACCAGTGGCCTACCACGACAAATGGAACCCTGAGCCCTGGCACGACCCCTCTGGGAAGGATCCCCCGGAGGGGGGAATAGCAAATCCTTAGCCACCTGCACAGCCGAAAGGGTGGGAACCTGCACATGGAGCTGGAGCCAAGCACACGACCACTCCCTCTAGCATCAGCCTGAGAACTGAGGGTGTATAGCCGGCATGAGGGGTCTGGGGCTCCCCCTTCCCCCTCCCGGGAAGGGGGGGGAGCTGCGCAGACAGCAGCGTGGCGACGTGTGACGTCATGATCATTTGCTCGTTTCTTTTAGGGAAGTTCTATCCACTTGTTTGGCTTTTGGTAGCAATTTTTCACCAGAATAGGGGTTTGTTTTGGGATGCTTATCTTTCTGGGTGCCTGACCCGGTCAATGGCAGACATAGAATGCTTCCAACTACATGGGGGTTTCTATAGGCCATTGCTCCCCTTACCTCTCCTGAGGGGGCCAGGTTCTGGCTCATGGTCCTCGGTAGGCCCATAAGAACTCCATACATACATGACTGATGCCAAAGTCTGACATTAGCATATCAGCCTAGTAAGCTCCGGGAAGCCAAAGGGGCTCTCCCCAGAAACACTTTCGTATCTGCATCACTGGTTCTGATTTTCCTTTCAAACATTTCACTGCCTCTGTTATGTGGCAGCCAGCCAGAACCAATCGCATAGTCGCAAGTCAGTCAAGCATTCACAGTCAAGACCAATCAAAGGCAGTCAAGCTTTCACAGTTGTGGTAGCAACCAGTTAGGCAACCAGAGCAAAAAAGTAGCTCAACGGGTCGTATCCCGAGCGAACCGTTGAAGAAACAGGCCAACTCATGGAAACAGAAACCAACGTAGCCGGCCCATGTAAGGAAAACAACGAACCGAAACAGAAGCCAAGCGGGCCACCAGTAGTCCAACATGGCGACAAGTAGCCCAACATGGCGACAAGTAGCCCAACATGGCGACATGTAGCCCAACATGGCGACATGTAGCCCAACATGGCGACAAGTAGCCCAACCGGCGACAAGTAGCCCAACCGGCGACAAGTAGCCCAACCGGCGACAAGTAGCCCAACCGGCGACAAGTAGCCCAATCCGGCATGCCGGATCAGAACGGAAAGAAAACGAGCAGCGACGAGACACAGAGCGGAGAGAAAAGAGAAGAACAAAGGAACGAGAAGGCCAAAAACCCAGAGGCAGCCCGGAATAGGACCCACAAGCCCTAAAAAGGGCCCGAGGGAAGCCCCACCAAACAATGACAGACGTACCAGTAAAACGGGAAGGAGCAAAACCGTCCCAAACCTTCGAGAACACAGAATCAAACACAAAGGACGAAGGCACAGAAAACCCAGTCGCACCCGAGACCAAAAGTCATGCAGAACCCCAAGAAGAGGGGGACATGACGGAGAAGCCCCGTCCCGGGAAAAAGGGGGCGAAGAACGTAGAAAAGCACCCACCGACAGGACAGAAACAACGGGCATAATGGACAAGGAACCGAGCCCGGGGAGAGGCCGACGCCCAATACTCGTGTGGAGAGGGGGAAGGGAAAAACCCCACTCCACAAAACCGCAAGCCCCGCCCAAAGGGGTAGAAAGACCCCGGCGGGGACCAACGGGGCCTAGCCCCTCCACGTCAGCCCCATCCCAGCCCCGGGAACCCACCCAGCAATAGCCCCGAGGCCGAGCTGTCCCCCCAAAGCCCCAGCCTCAAGAAAACCGGGGCAGCCGTGAAAAACACTAAGGAAGGGAGCCCACTGGCAGACTCTTACATCATGGCTGGAGGAAACAGGCTCGAATGCCCCCGTTGCTACTTCGGAAGAGGAAGTCCCCGAGACCAACAGTCTCTCAAAAATCCATGGAAGCCCCGCCCCGACCCCGAACCCACACACGGTAACGACCCGGATGTAGGGAGGAAAGGGAAGGGACCCGACAAGACCACCAACGAAAACGGGGCAGCCTCGGGGCTTCCGGGGAGCAAACAACTAGCGCGTTGCCACTGAAACCCAAAGAGCAATGCCCATGCAGCCTGCACCCAATTAGTCAGCATAAGACTGGGTAACCGAGTCACAAACAAGTAACAAAGCTTGCAGGACCCCGGGCCGAAGGTGTCACCGACCCCACAGGCTGCAGACAGAGGCAGAACCGTGAGAGTCACCCCCGAGACAAGGGGACAGAGCAACCCTCAAACTCGCCCAAAGCGAGGGGGGGGGGGACACCAGGGCCACACCTATTGGGCCCCACACTTCCCCAAGGGTTTCCCAGGGTCCCGAGCGTTTACTATAAGAGGACTCGCGCTCAGGTAATCCCAGGCAGGGTACTGCTAACCGGTGCTCATGGCTACCAAACAACATGCTAAAAGCTGAACCCCCGGGACGTGTACATTCACAGGGATCTAGCAGGGGAAACCACCGGAAGAAGGAAGAGCATGACACAAAGGGGGAAAGAATCAAAGGCAGAGCCCCCCACCAGGAAGACAAACAAAAAGAAAAAGAAAACCCTGCAAGAGGACAGCGTACCCAGGCGGAACAGAGCCGGCCGCTATGATTGGTGAAGACAAGCTGCACAGTACCCTGCGCCCCGCCAGTGCAAAACTGCCCCTTACCCTAAGGCAAACAAGGGAGACAGAACCCCCTATCACACAAAGGGCGGCCGAAAACCGAGCAGCAAACGGCCTAGCAGAAGCAGGACCCAAGGAACTTGTGGAAGGTAACCCCAAGCCCCAAGGGCAGTACTTACAGGGCACCTAGGGAAGGGAACCCTAGGCGCATGCAGCCCGAATACTGGAGACTCACTCCCGGCTCATGCACCACCTAGAAGACAGACACCACACTCTAGGTACAGTGCTGAAACAACTATTGGAGCCGGAGCACACAACCGGTGCCTATAGCATCAGCCGAAGAATTGGGGTGTGGATCGCTGGCGCTGTAGGTCTGGGGCTCCCCTTTCCCCCTCCCGGGGAGGAGGGGGGCAGACAGTGGCGCGACGACGAATGACGTCATATTAGTTTGCTCGTTTTTGTTTGGGGAGTTCTATCCACTCGTTCGGCTTTTGGTTGCAATATTCACCAGAATAGGGGTTTGTTTTGGGACGCCTACCTTTCTGGGTGCCTAACCCGGTCAATGGCAGACATAGAATGCTTCCAACCACACGGGGGTTTCTATAGGCCAATGCTCCCCTTGCCTCTCTGAGGGGGCCAGGTTCTGGCTTGTGGTCCCTGGTAGGCCCATAAGAACTCCGTACACATGACTGATGCCAAAGTCTGACATTAGCATATTAGCCGGGTGAGCTCCAGGGAGCCTCCGGGACTCACCCAGAAAATGGCGTTTCATTACATTCAACGCTGCTTTTTTTTCTACCTTCTAGCTTTGGCATATTTAATGCCTCTAACCTCTTGTCTTTCAGTTCCAGAAGTCATTTAGTTGCATGTCTGCACCTTTTCCAGTTTGTTGATGTGCTTCTTAAGATATGGGCACCATACAACTGCTGCATATTATAACTTTGGTCTCACAAAGGTAGTGAACACTTTCTTTAGTATTTCACTATCCATCTACAGTATTTAAAAGCAATTCTGAAATTCGAAAGTGTAACATAGGCTCCTCACACAATGTTCTTTATGTGGTCTTCAGGTGACAGAAATATATCTAGAATCACTCCTTGATCTCTCTATCATTATTTTTTACATCTTCTTCAGATAACTTTAGGATGTGTATGGCCTATTTTCTCTTGTCAAGTGGAGCAGCATACTTACTTTGTTCAGGTCTTTTTGAAGGGCATTTCTTATCTTCACTAGTATTTTGGCATCTTCAGCAAACATGTTCATAAAATTCTGTATTCCTTCTCATAGCTCATTTTTTTAGAAAAAAAAAATTACTGGTGCAAGGGCTGAACCCTGTGGTACTCCATTTGTGACATTTCTCCAGTCTGATACATTGTCTCTGATTACTGCCCTCAGTTTTCAGTCAGAAAATTTTTCAGTGGAGATAGAGCCTCCCTGTCACTCCTCCAGTATGTTCCAGTTTCCAGAACAACCTTTTATGTATGTAGGACCCTGTTAAAAGCCATTTTGTAGGTTCAGATAAATGCAGTCAACCCAACCATATCTTTCCTGTAAAATCTATGTGGCTGTATCATAGAAACTAAGCAGATTTGTTACACAAGATCTTCCTGATTGAAAAACCATACAGTCTATCTGTCTGCCTGTTATATCATTTCTCTCCAGGTGCTCTGTACTTATATATAGATGTTTAAACAAGCTTGAGTGATTTGTAGGCTACCACTTAAATTAATAAACTATTGATATGTAACATTGCATTTAGATATTCTTCCTACTTTTTGATGGAAAAAATATATACGTAACATATATATCTATGCACTGACTGAATTCAATAGAAGGTGCAAGCCCCTCTGCAACTTTTAATATGTTTTGCAGTTTGTAAGTACACAGTACATGAGCGGTGTGTCCAGCGAGCACCCGCATCATGCATCGCAACTTATGTGAAGAGTAAAAGAAGCTGCCAGTCAATGTTACACCACTGGGTGGAGGGCAACTGTCCTGGCAAGTGCTCTCGCTGCAAGAAAACTATCAAGAGTTACAATGGCATCACTGGATTACACTGCTGTTGGTGTCATCTAAGGGTGAGTGTAACTTGTATCTCTAAAGTATTGGGGGCTTTCTCTTAGCACTGCTGATGTCTTCTCTAAGCGAGTGTTATTATTGCAGTGTCTTTTCTGTGGAGAGCCCCTTTGGCTCCCTGGAGCTATACCAGGCTGATGTGTATGTATTAGACCCTGGCAACAGTCAATCGATGGAGTTCTTCTGGGGACCACGAGACGGAACGTGGGCCCCCTTGGAGAGGCACGAGGAGCAATAGCCTATAGACACCCCCATGTAGTTGGAAGCAGTCATGCCATCTACCAGGTCAGGCACCCAGAAAGGTAGACATCCCAAAACAAACTACAGCTGGTTAAAAATTGCAAAACGAAAGCCGAACGAGCAAGTAAAACTCCCTTGTCAGAAAACTATCAAACAAGCATGACATCACCATAGCCACAGTGCCACTGCCTGCGCAGCTCCCCCCTTCCCTGGGAGGGGGGAAAAGGGGGGGGGCCAGACGTCCCATGCCAGCTACCCAACCCCAGTTCTGGGGCTGATGTGCTGAGCAACGGTCGTTCAACTCTGACTCTGATCCTTGAGCAGTGGTGTACCTTGTGGAGGTGTGCGAGCCAGGTGTAATTCAAGAAGTACTGGGGCTGCATGTGCCTAGGGTCATCTTTCCTAGGTCCCCTGTAAATATTGCTCTTGCAGTTTTGGATTACCTTTCACAAACTGTTCGGGGACCACCTCCGCAGGGTTCTTTTGCTGCTCGGTGATTGCCCGCCCTTGGGGCCAGCTGGGATTTTTTCCCTACCACTCTTTGGACTTGGGTAGGTAGGAAGTAGTATCATCGCTGGCTGGGGTGCAAGGTACTTTGCAGCTGTCTTATAATATGCATAGTGACTGGTTCTGTTCCTCCTGGAGACGATGTGCTTTTGTGGGGTGTTTCTTTTGTTTTGTTTTGTTTTGCCTGGTGGGGGTCTACCTGATGTGGCTGTAGGACCACTTGTATTATTTTGGTGGCCCTCCGCTAGGTTCCCTGTGATTGCACACATTGCAGGGGTTCAGCCTTTGTTTATTTGTTTGCTTGGTAATTCTGGGATAACTGGTTGGCAGTACAGTACAACCTATATTCAACGCACTATATGGGACCAACAGTTGGATTCGTTACAATAGGTGACCTTCAAGAGGTGTTTGCATCAGTGTCTTTTTTTCTTGTAAACAATAAAAATGCATTATTATATTATATACTGTACCTATATGTTACTACTATACTAAAAAATACTGTGTTAAGTCGTTATTTACTTTATTGTTGGAGTTATGTCCATCTTGAATTCTCATGGAGTTGTGAATGCTGTACAGTAAATACGTACTGTACTGTATTATGCCATGAACACTGTATTGATAAGTAGATCTGCTATATGTTGAGTACTATAATACAGTTTAGGAGAACTATTTTACACTAAAATTACTGTACTGCAACCTTAATTTTAACACTAACACTATGTACTTAAATTTAACACTTATTTTAACTGTACACTCCACACACGATGTTCTTAGATGTATCCTTATCTATCCACCCTCACTCATCTTGTTTCATCAGAGAAAATGTATATAAGAAGATTTCAACACATTAGCTAGCTATTCACACTTCAGCCTTTAAATTAATTTGCAAAGATACATGTGCCACAAATCGGTGGCAAACGAAAATCATGGAAACACAGTCGTTCACTTGTGTGGACCACTCTGGCTGGTGTTTGGTTAACCCTTGTGTTGGTCAGGGCTAATTAGCATTTGTCACCCACAGGTGCATACCAAAAAAAAAAAAATTATTTTTGCTTCTAAACCTGTTAATTTGTGTTCTCTGATCATGGGAAAAATAATAAAAACATTGTAAATGGCATATATTATGGCATATATTCACCATAACTGTTCAACTAAGCCGATATAATGCCCAAAGAGCATAGTGGCCACCCCTACCAACATGACAAATCATACAGATATTGCCACACCCATCACCAAAATGGCTTCTCCCCCACACTTCTTTTGCTGTTATTACACTGTATATACACGTTATATATAGGTATCTACATTCATGTTCACCATAACGAACCACTAAGTTGGTATGCTGAGTGGCAGTGGCATTTGCCACTTTATCCCTCCCTCATCTCACCTGACTCACCACCATTCTCCTCCCACCATACTGTTTTTGCTTTTATTCACTATATACAGACGTTATATATAAGTATCTGCATGTTTTGTTCACCATAGCAAACAACTAAGCTGGTATAGTGAGTGCAGACAGTAAAAGGTGGTCACACAGTCAGCAGACAATGCTACCTCCCTCCCCACCAAGATTACTCCTCCCACTACAGTGCTAATTATCACAACAATCCTGCTATTATCAGAATCCTGGTCATTTTTATCACAGTCAGGGGTCTTCTGTAATACTATCATCGCTAAATAATAACATGAACATATATATTATGGCATTTTTAGGCGATGCTGTGGTCACAAGCCGAACAGCAGTGCTGTGAGCTCATGCTGTGTGCGTCAGGCTTGGTGGCTCACTCAATACCGAGGCCCTCGCACCCGGGAATTTGGCCCATGATTTAAAAAAAAAATGGAGTCTGTTTACAAGAATCCTGATGAAGGCGAGGTGAACCTTGTGTATATGCTGGCCGTTTAAATCTTGCGTAGTACTCCAATACATCATATGATGGGATGCGCATTTTATAGCAAGTCACTCAACACATCATATGATGGGTTGCACAACTTAAGGGTTAATGTGCTTCACTTGTTGTGTGGACCATTCTTTCTGGTGTTTGGTTCATATGGTTCACTTGTTGTGTGGTCCATTTGTGTGATCCAACTTGTCCTATGAAGGAATTATTAACTGTAACCTGTGATAGAATGGGAAAGTTTTCCACTAGTCTGTGAACTCTGTCCCAACATTGTAAGCAAATCCACACATCCCCCACTTCGGCGAACTGGGTGAGTAAATCCGGTCTGAAAAGTGTGCGACCTAGCCGGAGATTCGTTGAATTGGGGTACGTTGAATCGAGGTTGTACTGTACCTTGCCTGGGCTTTCCTTAGCAGTCAGCCTAAGGGCCTTGGAAAACCCCATTGGGGGCTCATTGGTCCAATGGATGCATCCTCTGACTCCCATCTCACTTTGTGCAAGTTTGAAAGTTGCTCTGTCCCCTTGTCTCAGGGTGACACTCGCCATTTTAGCCTTTGCCATGCTGCCTGTTGTGTTAATGACACCTTTGACCCGGAGTCCTGCGAGTGGTGTTCCTTACTTGCACTCCAGTTCACCCAGTCCACTGCTATTGATTTTTGGGTGCAGGGAGCTTCAGCATTGCATGCAAGGTTTAGGTTGCTGCAACGTGCTAGGTTGGTTGCCTTTTCTAATGCCCCAAGGCTGCCCTGCTTTGATTATAGGGACCCGGACTTGGGGGCATTACTTGCCTTGACTTTGGTTTTGTCTGCGCCCCCTTGTCTGCGTTCTTCCCCTGCTGTAGATCAACCTGTTCAACCCTTCCCTCCTCCCCTCCCTCACTCCCAAACGTCAGAGAATTTCAGAGTCAGGGCAGGGCTTTCTTGGTGGTGAAACTCTGGTTGCTAAGGAGATTGCCCCTTCCGATCAGTGGCAGAGATATTCGAGCCTGTTCCTCCTGCCGGGGCTTTAGAAGCTGGTCTGCTTCTTGCCAGCAGACCCCCTTCTTTCATGCTTTACTGGTGTACTCTGCCTTTTCTCCAGAGGCGGAGGGTTTGGAGGACAGCTCTGCCCCCAGGTCCTGATGTGGAGGATTCCAAGGCTGAGCCAACTCCCAGGGAGGAGTTGACTTGGGGGCTTGGGCCCCATTTGACCCTGCATGGGTATTGGTACCCTCGGCACGAGGCTTGTTGTTACAGGAGAAGGGGTTTTCCTATCCCTGCCCCCCTCCCTGTATGAGTTTGATATGGGTTCGACTCCTCCCCAGATTTGGTTCCAGGTTCCCTTGGGTTCCTCAGTTCCCTCCTTCTGGAGGTTTTCGACTTCCCGCATCCCGCCGAAGGAGGTGCAAGAGGCCATTACAGCTTACCTCCTGCGAGACCCAGATTACGCCTCGATAATGAATCCTTCTTCTTTTGAGTTAGCCTTCTCTTTTCCTTACTGGGTGCGTTACAAGGTGCCAAAGTCTTCCTGGCTGGCAGACTGCCCTTTCTTTTCGTTAGGGGCGTGGCATGCATTCTGTCGGACCCGCACACTTGAGTGGAGGGAGTTGACTACGGTTGTTCAGGTTTACCTGGGGGGTGAGTTTGAGCACCTCAGTGGGTGCTTGTTCACCCCTGTGCTTCCTTGCGACATTGGCCAGGTGTAGCTTTGTGTGCAGGTTCCCTCCCTTTTGGCTTCCCTGGTGGCTGAGGATTTGCGTGCTCATGGGCATTTGGCGTCTGTCTTGCTTTTCTTTTTCCTGTTTGACCTGTCTTTGGATTTGCTCAAGGTGGATGTGTTGGAGCTGGGTTCCAGGCCAGCATCCTGTGTGCTTGCCTTGGCAGCTACGGCGTCGGCTGCTTTGTTGAAGTTGTTTGTGCCGATTCTGAAGGACGCAGTGTCTTTGTTCTTTGCTTTTTGCCTCGTGTGCTGACAGGCAGTGCTCGTCCACTCTTTGAAATCTGCTTGGGCCCTGGCTCTTAGATTTTCATTCCCCTTTTGTCCGTTGCTGTTTGAAGAGTCTGTGGTGGTGCATTCTGCAGGCAGTTTCATCTAGTTGCCTGCCTATGTCGGACTTGTTGGTTCTCCGGAGGGAGGCTTTGGGGTCCTGCCTGGAAGGGTCGTGCCAGGGCTCAAGGTTCCTTCGGTCATCTTTAGCCAGTAATGCCAAATTCAGGACCGGCCTCTCCTGCGGAACCGTCAGCATCTGGTCGGCGCAGTGCTCACTCTGAGCGTTGGTTGGGCTTTTGTAAGGGTTGTTGGCCCTCTCATGGTTTGCCTCGTTGATGGTGTGATGGGTAGGGAGGCTCGAATCGTTTGCTCTCGCCTGGTCCCATGATTCGTGGCCATTTCAGGTCATTTCCTGTAGCTTGCAGGGGAGATGGGTGGCTCCTCCTCCTTCGAAGGGTTCGGGGCTGGTGAGACAGGCCTCTTCCCCTGCACTCTGTCCGGTCATCCTCCTCCTGAGTCAAGACCTCTGAGACATGTATTGGCACATCCTGATTCATCCAGGGTTCATGGACTGGCTTGGTTTTATCATGGGGCAGCAGGCTTTCCGTTTTCGTTGCTTTCCATTCGGCTTGAATCTTGTACAATACATTTTTACATGCCTTACCCGGGTCATGGTGACCCGTTTGTATCAGTTAGGGGGTTCGGGTTCTGGCTTACCTCGACAACTGGCTGGTCTGGGCTTCCAGCTGGTCTGCGTGTCTGCTCCCCAGGGGTTTGGTTTTTTTCCCAGCTCACTGGGTTTGAGTTCTTCGTGAACTGGAGGAAGTCCCATCTGGTTCCCTCTCAGGTTCGGACTTGGCTGGGTCTTATGTGGGACTCTCGGATCACTTCCTTGTCTCTCCCCTCAGTGTCGTTACTGTGACTGCGGTCCCACCATCGGCTGTTTCTGGGGGGCTCCCGGGTCACTCGTTGATTGCTCAAGCAGCTATGCGGGAGTCTGAACATTGCCATGCTGGTTTACCCACCGGGTCGGGTCTGGCTTCTGCGACTGTTGTGGTTCCTATTGGGACGCCACTTCTGCCACTCTCGCGATCGTTGGGTTCGGCCTCTGAGGGCTTTGCAATAGCTGCTGCATCACCAGCTTCTTTTTCGGGGTTCACTGCCGTGGTGCTTACCCAATCCCTCGCTCTGTGTATACAACTGTGTCATCTCTTGACGGGTTTTGTGACCAGTGTTCACCAGGCCACCAGGGTCGATGGGGTCCGTCCTTCTGTCAGGCTCACAGCACTGTGCGGGAATTTGCAGTAGTGTGGCTGTCGCTTTGGAGGGTTTATGTCACTTGCAGATCGACAATCCGGCTCCATTCAGACTGCGCCCCAGTGGCTCATTGCCTGAAGCCAGGGGGGTTTGATGCTGTCTTTGGCTCTTTGGGGTTGGTCGCTTCGGGTGACTTGTCTGCTGAGTTCTCAGGGTTTGGCTCCCCTGGCAGTTCACATCCAGGGGGTGTCCAACGTCCTGGCGAACGGCCTGTCCCGGTTCATTCCCCTTTCTTTGGAATGGACGATCAGTGCCAACTCATTCAGTTGGCTTTGCCGGACGTACGGGCGCCCAGAGGTGGACCTCTTCACATCGGGGTGGAAGAGGCGTCTACAGGTATATGTGGCGCCCTTTCCCGACTGTGAGGCTGTCGGTGTCGATGCCTATCAGGACTGGTGGAGGTGGGGTTACCTTTACCTCTTCCCTCTCGGTTCTGCTGTTGCTTTGGGTTCTGGCTCGGTTGGAGACATACCAGGGAAGAGATGTCCTGTTGGCCCCTTAGTGGCCAGCCCAGCTTTGGTTTCTGGCACTGCTTGCTCAGTGTCTGAACCCGGGGACTTTTCTGCGGCTTCGCCTCTTCCAGCAGAAGAGGCTTCGCCTCTTTTGTCCAGTCGGTACAAGGCTGGTTCGATCTTCTCCGATCTTCACATATTGTCTTTCTGATGCAGGTCTATCACCACTTGTATGGTGATCAGGTGGCTTCGTTGATGGTGTCCGATCTGTGTGTTTCGTCTCCGTGGCAGTATGAAGTTTCCTGGCGGTCCTTTCATCATTTTTTGTCTCTTCATAGGTTGTCTTCGGTTTTGGATCGGATTGTTTCGTCCTCTCTCTCTCTCTTGGCTGTTTCAGGACCCTCATCTTATGCCGAATACTGTCGCCTCATATCGTGTGGTGCTGGTGGAACTGCTCCTGCTTACGTTTGGGGTGGATGTTACTTCTGCTCCATTTTGCAAGCTGTCTTGTGCGTTGTTACACCACCGGCCTGCTCATGCGCCGCCTGCGCCGTCCTGGGCGTTGGACCGGGTGCTCTCTTTTTCTCTCTTCTCCTTGGTTTGTGGTGGCCCCTTCGGTTTGGGATTATTTTGATAAGGCTCTTTTCTTGTTGGCATTGGCCTCTGGGGGGTCGGGTCGGGGAGAGTCATGCTCTCCTCCAGCACAGGGGTTTCTGCTTTTTTGGTCCTAGTGGTAGGTTAGTTTTCTTGTAGCCATCTCCTTCTCTTCTGGCAAGGAACGAGACGGCAGCTTTTCGGAGGGGTCCTTGGGTAGTTGATGCTTAGTTGGTTCAGCTGGGGCTGCATTGGTGCTATCTGTGCACCACAGTGGGGGATGGTCTTTGTGTTGACCCAGTTTCCCTTCTTCCCTGTTCCCAGGCTCGGGGTCCCCACAGGGTTATTTGGTCCAGCCAGCCTGCGGTGTATCCTCGTGCCCATGATGTTCTCAAATTTGCTGCTTTAGCTGCCGTTTCTGGTAATATGTCTTGGGCTGACATTCGGGCACAAGGGTTTTGGAAGTCGAACCGGGTCCTGGCCACTCGTTACTTCGTTAATGTTCCTGGCCCTAGTCAGGTGTGTGTCGCTTTGGGTCGCAGGTTGCAGCCAGTTGCCTCGATTTAGAGTTAAGGTGGGAGTGGCGGCTGCCTTCCAGGTAAATCCCTCTTTTATTTTTCTGTAGTCAGGTAGCTCTGAAGAGCCGGAGGGGCTCTCCACAGAAAACCAGTGTTGATTGTAATGAAACGCCATTTTCTAGGTAAGTCCTGGAGGCTCCCCGGCAACTCTCCCTCCCTCCAGTTGGCGGTATTCATGTTTTTTATATTCAGCCTCAGAACTGGGGTTGGATGGCCGGCACAGGGGTCTGGGGCTACCCCTTCCTCCTCTCAGTCAGAGGGGAAGCTGTGCAGACAGTGGTGCGGCGGTGGTTGTGACGCCATGCTTGTTTGCTTGTTTTAAGATTGGCTGTTCTGCTTGATAGTTTGGCTTTCTGTAGCAATTTTTAACCAGGTGGTGTTTGTTTTGAGGCGCCTACCTTTCTGAGTGCTTAACCTGGTCGATGGCAGACATTGAATGCTTCCAACCACTTGGGGGGTTTCTATAGGCCATTGCTCCTCCTGCCTCTCTGAGGGGGCCAGGTTCTGGCTCGTGGTCCACGGTAGGCATAGATCTCTAATCAAATAGACTGATGCCATGATCTAATACATACATATCAGCCAGGTAAGCTCCAGGGAGCCTCTGAGACTCGCCCAGAAAATGGAGTTTCATTACATTCAACGCTAGTGTTTTTTACTAAATTACTGTCATTTAGCATGAATATTAGATTAACATACTTGTATTATTAAGTTTAACAAATACTAAATACCTATATAGTATTATTTTATTTAAACTGTTAAAATTTTGTATTGTGCTCTTCTTCATTATATACAACACATTTGTTGCTTGGTTGTCCTTCCAGCTCCACAACAGATGTGCTTCCCAAGTTAAACCTGAATGTAACTTTGGAGAACACAGAGTACATGTTCTTCCCCCAACAGCAATCTGCCCTATCGTCCTGGATCGTCAAAGATCCATATCGAAGGAAAAGAAGGACCTCCATCGGTCCGAGTCAACACCAGGTGGACTCAGTGAAGGCACTGTGAGTGGTTCTAGTATTGCTACTAATTTAATATCCAGTTACTTTTGATTGACATAATGGGGATGAGGTAGCACCACGTTCTCCCACTCGAGGGCATGATACAATTTCTTTTCCATTTCAGAAGTAGTCAAATCCCATTTTTAAAAAGTTTGTTTTGGACCAGTTATACAGTATTTCAAATTTTAAATATACTTTCATTGAATTTTATATTTAGTAACTTTGGAGAAGTTTGATAGTTGAAAATTTCACTTACTATTGAAGGTGGGAGAGTAGGTTGAATATTAGACACTTTATGCTTTGAAATATTTGTCAATACCTTCCTTGTCAATGTATCTCTACCCCGTGTATTAGAAGTAATACAATTATCACAAAATGCTAATAGCATTCATCCTTCAAGCACAAAAGTAATCGGTAAACACTCTATCCCACAGATGTCGGCTCCCATGTCTTTCCAGATCACACCACTGCCTGGGACTCATCCATTGGCTGTCTTTGTCAATCCTAAGAGTGGAGGGAGGCAAGGTGCCAGAATCCTCAGGAAATTTCAAGTAAAAGTTTGAATTTTGTATACTGAAGCATGACATGCTAGATGCAAGTTACTTTCACCTTGTAGTAAAATCTAAGGTAGTCCAGCACCCTTAGCTTTCAGGCAAGTTTGTGTTTAAATATAAAAAATCAGGTATTACAGGCAGACCTGTTGAATAGTACCAAAGTATAGTTACACTTTTTGGCTAATTTGTCTTTTGTGACTTTTAAACCACTGTTAGTAAACACTCTGGTGGCCTTGATGAGGGCTGCTTGTTAAAGGTCCTCCCCTCCTCTCCCCATTTGTCCTGATGATTTGTTCAATTTTTGTTATTGTAAAATTCAATAGCGTTTTGGCCTTTATGGCTTCAGCGGGTAGGCAGTTCAATGAGTTTATAAGCCTTTTAGGCTAAAAAGCATCTCCTGTTTTAATCCTACATTGTGGCTTGTTGAGCTTGAAACCATGGCTCCTTGTTTGTTACATCTGACCATTTGAAGAACTTGTCTGGATCAATATCCTCCAAGTTGTTTAGTATTTTAAAGTTTCAATGAGAAGCACCCTGTCATGTCTGGTTTGCAATGTGGCCCCTCAACTGTTCCTGGTATGAGAGTTGACTTAGTTCTGGAATGACTTTTGTTGTCCGGTGTTGAACTTTCTCCATAGCAGATTTGGCTTTCTGAAGATGAGGTCACATACTTGGATACAGTAATCTAATTGAGGGTGCACCAGTGCTTTATACAGTTGAATAAGTACCTTCTTTTCCTTAAAGTCAGAGGTTTGCTTCATTAATCCTAGGGTTTAGTTAGCCTTTTTTTTTACTGAAGCTCCCATTTATTGTGCAACTTTCAGTGAATGATGGATTCCAACTCCAAGGTCCTTTTATTCATCAGTCTGCTGTAAGGTAATGCTGTTAATCTGGTAGTTGTGATGTGGATTGTTATGTCCCACATGCAACGTCTTGCATTTTTTATATTAAAACATTTGCCAGTCTTCTGACCGTTTGTGGAGTTTATGTAGATCTTTGTAGACCTCGATATCATTTTCACTTCCCACTTTACCATAAATCTTAGCATCACCTGAAAATTTGAATTGTGTTAATTGTCAATGATGTCAAATTTCTTGGATAAATCCTTAGTATTACTTTTAGTAAATGCCACATACAACTATTTAAATTTGTTACCTGTATAATTAAGCTCCAGCTAACTTTGATATCACTTTGTTTCTTAATACAGTACCTGCTAAACCCCCGCCAGGTGTATAACCTGGCAAAAGATGGCCCCCTGCCTGGCCTTCAGTTATTCAAGGATGTTCCTAATGTCCGGGTTATTGTGTGTGGTGGTGACGGTACCATAGGTTGGATCCTCGAGCAGATGGGTAGGTCATCTTGCTCTTTAGACTTATTTGAGGAAAGATCACATAAAGAAGGGCTGTGATTCTTTGCAGTTAAATTTATATATCAATTATTGAAGATAATCTTTGAAAAATGTGCTGAGTGCCAAGTGCTCTTGTTGAGTCAGTCACCTCCACAGACAAGGTCCAGTGGAGCCAGGCACCGTGCGTAGGCATCATCCCACTGGGTACTGGCAACGATTTAGCCCGATGCCTCAGATGGGGTGGTGGATACGAAGGGGAGTCTCTTCACAAAATTCTTAAGGTATGGTTTTTTGTTTTATGGTAAACTGTAGGTTTAGGTTGCAACTAGTAATTAGTTGAAGGAGTTAGTGTACATTCTCAGTTAAAATAGTTTAGGAACATAAGAAGGTTATCTTATGAATAAATCCACAAAGGCTGTGATGAGGTTTTAAATTACATCTTATATATTATCTCCATACTGAACGTTCACTGAATAAGGGCGAAGAGGTAGAACAGCTTGTTGACAGAGCCCAAGTGCATGGGGGAATTATGTCAAACCCCGGTTTGTGTCTCGAAGAGACTGCGGGATCCGTGTGAGAGCAGTAGCAATCCCGGGTGCAATTCTTTTGACCATGTCGTGGCTCAGTCGATTAAGGCACGTCTGGGATTATCCTGGACGTAAGTTCGAACCCTCATCACGGCCCTTGTGGATTTATTCATTTGATATATCACGCTATTGTGATTTCTGTGTGTAAGGTTATCTTATATCAGAAGGTGAAAGTGTTTTCATATTGGGTATTAAAAGGTATCCAAGTGGTTAATTTTCTGAACTTTAGCTCTAGATCATTAGGAAATAATCCTATTATATAATTTAAATTAAATGGAGATAATATATAAGATGTAATTTAAAAGTTATATAGTCAAACGATGATAGGTATAAGATATATGATAGCATTTTGAATATACAGTATGCTCGATGTTAACTCATTAGATACTCTTAGACTATGATATGTCTTCTATGTAATATTTTATGGTAAGTATGTGATTTCTGACGTCAGATTCTCTTCACTCGACTATAAGGCTGCACTAAGTCATCAAACCAGCTTAAAGTGGAAAGTTAACATTCTTTGTCAACTACCCCAACCCAAATAAAATGAATCATTAATTTTCAAACATTTTTTTATATTAACAAGCTTAGGTACACATAGTAATGTGCTGCTATCCTATTCTATATGAAGGATTACAGAGTGTAGATCAAAAGCTAGGCAATAGTTCATCTAATACCTCTCTCTCACAGGATGGTTAGTCATACACAGAATCGGTAGAAAACATGTGATGCAAGTCTAGTCAGAGCCGTCTTACTGCATGGGCCTGATAGGCACTTGCCCAGGGGGCCCCAAGAGCATAGGACATGTGCATTATGAAAGCAGAATGTTTAAATATTTCAGTCTTGGTGCAAGCACACTTATATAATATAACCCTACATCCTCGTGTGGGGCTAAATACTAAATACTTAAGACATATTTCCAGGTGAATAACTCTTTGAGCAGAAATGAAACGTAATGTTTTGGGTGGAGCACAGAAAAGGAAGAGCTGCAGAGGAGGAGGAGAAAAAAGGAAAACTTCCAAAATTAACATCGTGGCTCAACACAGGTGCAACAACAGACACTCATATCCTTCCTTTAGATATAGCATCCACATTAGCATCCATTCTTGCAATGTCAGCCACAAGTACTGTTCCTTCAGATATAGCATCCACATCTACATCCATTCCTGCTACCAATCATTCAGTTTTGGCAGACATACAGTACCATCATACAGTACCAGCTGCTGCTGGTGACATTTTACAAGAGGAAATACACAAATCTGTAACAGTAAAGGAGTTTGCAATCCAAGAGACAGATCGGGGGCTATGGAACATTAATGATGCTAACACAATAGATTACTGGATTTGTAGTGGGTCCTCATTATGTAAAAATCATGATAGCAACCTATCAAACTCTCACACAGTGTATAAAACAGCTGGAGTAGAGAATATGAAGACAAGATATTTATCAAACAATGTGTTCAAACGTGAACTGTGGAATAGTTAGTATGTAAAACATGAATGGCTACTCTGTTCACCATCCCAAAGTCATTTGTACTGCTTTGTGTGTCACACTATTGTCCCAGAAAGAATCTTCCTTTGCTACATGCTGTGGTCAGTCATACAATAATGCCTTGAATACGTCTGGACGATATACTGGATTGCAAACACGGATTTATAAACCTAATGAGTTTGCCATCTATGTCCCCTGTGCTGGACACAGCCTGAACATGGTTGAGTAGAAGCAGCGGAGTCTTGTCTACAGACTGTCAAATTCTTTGACTTTGATAAGCATTTGTATTCATTTTTTGTTGTTTCTACTCATCGCTGGTATGTATTAACATCATCTTTAGGAAAAGATTTTATCAAGCATTTGTCTGACACACGATGGTCAGCACATTTTGATGCTGTTCATGCTCTGTATGGGGGTTTCTAGAAAAATAAAACATTCACTGGATTCTCTATCAGCTGACAATGAACAGCAAGTGAATACAAGACGAGAGGCAGAAGAATTGAGCAAAAAATGGAAAACCTGGAAACACTCTTTTTCACAATTCTTTGGAATGACATGATAGAAAGAATGAACAAAACAAACAAGGTCCTGCAATCAACGGATATTAACATCCTTGTTGCCACGAATCTTCTTGAGTCTTTGAAAACCTATGTTCAGAAAACTAAATACAAATTTAGTGAATATGAATTCAAAGCCAGGAGTATATTTCCAGAACGAAAACAATGTGTGCGTCTTAGTAGCTATGATGAATCAGCAGAAGAGGTACTTCTCATTAAAGCCGAAAAATTCAAGGTGGAAACTTTCCTCCCTATTCTGGACACTAATCTTTTAACTGACCAAACATGCAGAGGCTTATTCACAGATTGGAAATCTGTTTTCTTTCTTCAGTGAATTGAAAACCATTGCCTCTGATGCAATAAAGAAAAAGTGTGAACATCTGGCTGATATGAATCACAAAGACCTAAATTATGATGACCTTTTAAATGAATGTAAGCATCTCAAGCACTTGATGAAAATTGAGATGCTCCCTGCACTGTACAGAAAAATAATTTGGGACAATCTGAAATCTGTATTCCCAAATGTTGAAATTGCACTCAGTGTGTTCATGTGCATGATGGTGACCAACTGTATAGGAGAATGTTCTTTTTCAAGACTGAAACTTATAAAAAATCTGCTTCGTAGCACAATGGGGCAGCATCGTTTGAACTGGCTTTCACTCGTGTGCATGGAAAATAACATCCTGACGAGTATTGACTTCAAGCCAATAATAAAGCAATTCTCTGAAAAGAAATGTCACAAATGCTTGTTATAATAAGTTCATAGTAATTTCATACTGTGCCATCTAATCTGTTGTTGTTGTTGATTTAGAGGTGACAACGATCGGTGGAATTGAATGTGCCCCGGCGTACCCGGGAAGGGTTAATCGCGAAGCCTGGAAAGGTGAAACACAAAGCTAAATCGCAAAACAAGTGACGCCAATCATTGGAAACTAATATGCCATGCGGCAAAGATCTAATCTGTGTAGCTTACTGAGTATTATTGTGTTTTTTAAGCCTTGTGTAGTGTTCAAATGTTTATCATGTTGATTAGTTGCTGCTCTACAGCATGTTTTTAATGTTTTAACACCAGTTTTGTTGAAGTACCAATAATATAAATATATGTTTAATATTATCGACCATTTACTTTTTATTCTTGTGAGTGGTTGTCGTAGGGGCCCCAGCACACTAGTTTTCCCAGGGGCCCATAATGCTGTTAAGACGGCCCTGAGTCTAGTTTACTACTAACAAACAAACACTAACAAACTTTGGGCAGAGTTCAAGAATCTTCCAATATTCATGAGTGTATGAAGTAGTTACAGAGCTCAAAGTAACTCATAGATCAGACCCATTTGGTCTGATTTCATTGAAAACAGGCACTCACAAATATAGTGTTGGAGAGTGTACTTACCTCAGTGTTATTACCTAAGTGTAGTTACAGGTTGAGAGCTATGCTCTTGGGGTTCCATCTTCCCACTCTCTTTGTTATATATATATATAGTAATGCTTTGAAACTACTGATAGTTTTGGCCTCAACCACTTTCTCACTTAACTTCTTTTCTTCAAAAGAAAACTTTTTAATATTTTTTCGGCACTTTTGTTTCCTTAGCTTAAATCTATGATGTCTTGTTCTTAAGGTTGCCAGTTTCAAGAATTCCTCTTTGTCAGTTTGGTTGATTCCTGTTATTATTTTGTAAGTGGTGATCATATCCCTCTTTTTCTTCTATCTACTAGTTTCTGCATATTTAGCACCTTTAATCTCTCTTCATAACTCATTTTCAGTTGTGAAAGCCATTGTGTAGCAGTCCTTTGCACCTTTTCCAGTTTACTGAAGTGCATCTTGAGATATATGAACCATACAATTGCTGCATATTCCAATTTTGGTCTCACAAGTCTTGAACAGTTTCTTTGTATTTCACCATCCATGTAATTAAAAGCAATTCTGAAGTTGGAAAGTGCAGCATATGCTCCTTCTACAGTGTCCTTCATGTGTTCCTCTGGGGACAGTCTACTATCCAGAACCACCCCTAGATTTCTTTCTTTGCTAGAGTTCTTTAAGTCCTTTCTACATAATTTGTAAGTTGTGTGTGGTCTATTTTCTCTTATTCCACATTCCATAGCATAGCATTTCTGTGGGGAGCCCCGTTGGCTCCTTGGAGCTTTACCAGGCTGATATGCTAATGTCAGACTTTTGCATCAGTCATGTGTATGGAGTTCTAGGGCCTACCGGGGACCACGGCCAGAACCTGGCCCCCTCAGAGAGGCAAGGGATGCAATGGCCTATAGAAACCCCCGTATGGTTGGAAGCATTTTATGTCTTCCATCGACCAGGTCAAGCATCCAGAAAGGAAAGCATTCCAAAACAAACCTCTATTCTGGTTAAAATTGCTACCAAAAATTGAACTAGTGGATAGAACTCCCCAACAGAAAACAAGCAAATTAGTATGACGTCACACGTCACCTCGCCACTGTCTGCGCAGTTCCCCCCTCACCGGGAGGGAAAAAGGGAAGCCCCAGACCTCTCATGCCGGCTATCCACCTATCAGTTCTTTGGCTGATGCTATAGGCACTGGTTGTGTGCTCCGGCTCCAGTAGTTGTTTCAGCACTGTACCTAGAGTGTGGTGTCTGTCTTCTAGGTGGTACGTGAGCTGGGAGTGAGTCTCCA